TCTCAGGTTATAAAATCAATGTACAGAAATCAATATTTCTATACATCCACAACAACCAAGAGAAGCAAATCAAGAGCTCGATCTCATTTACAATAACTTAAAAAATAAAATACCTAGGAATAAAATTTAACCAAGGAAGTGAAAGATCTCTATAAGGAGAACCATAAATCGTTGATGAAAGAAATTGTAGGTGACACAAACAAATGGAATAATATCCCATGCTCATGAATGGGAAGAATAAATATTGTTAAAATGACCATACTGCCCAAAGCATTCTTCAGATTCAATGCAATTCCTATCAAAATACCAATGTCATTTTTCATAGACTTAGAAAAAAACAATTCTAAATTCATATGGAACCAAAAAAGAGCCCAAATAGCCAAAGCAGTCCTAAGCAAAAAGAACTAAACTGGAATCACACTACCTGACTTCAAATTATACTATAAGGCTGTAGGAACCCAAACAGCATGGTATTGCATAGAAGTATACACATAGAGCAATGGAACAGAATAGAAAACTCAGAAATAAAGCCATATACCTACAACCAACTGATCTTCAACAAAGCTGAAAAAAACATACACTACAAAAGAACACACTATTTAATAAATGATTCTGGGAAAATTGGGTAGCTATCTGTAAAAGAATGAAACTTGATCCCTATCTCTCATCATATATGAAAATTAACCTCAAGATGGATTAAAAACTTAAACGTAAGAACTGAAACAATAAAAATCCTAGCAGAAAACCTAGAAACAACTCTTCTGGACATTGGCTTAGGCAAAGAATTTATGACTAAGACCTCAAAAGCAAATGCAATAAAAACAAAAATAGACAAACTGTACTTAATTAAACTAAACAGCTTTTGCACAGCACAAGAAAAAATCATAAGAGTAAATAGCCAACCTACAGAATGGGAAAAAATATTCACAAACTATGTGCATGACAGAGGACCAATATCCAGAATCTACAAAAAAACTCAGCAAGAAAAGAACCAAATAACTCCATTAAAAAGTGGGCAAAGGACAAGAAGAGGCATTTTTCAATAGAAGATAGACAAATGGCCAACAAACATGCAATGGAGCAAGACCCTGTCTCAAAAAAAAAATGCTCTAATGCTCAACATAACTAATCATCAGGGAAATGGAAAATTAAAACCACAATGAGATACTTCTTACTCCCATTAGAACGATCATTATTAAAAAGTCAATAAACAATAGATGTTGGCATGGATGTGGTGAAAAGGAAACACATGTTGTTGGTGGGAATGTAAATTACTAAAACCTCTGTGAAGATCAAAGAAATTTCTCAAAGAACTAAAAGTAGATCTACTGTTTGATCCTGCAACCCCACTATTGGGTATCTATCCAGAGGAAAAGAAATCATTATATCAAAAAGATACCTGTACTTGTATGTTTTGCACAGCAGAATTCATAATCAAAAAATATGTAATCAACCTGATGAGTGGAAAAAGAAAATGTGATATGTATATCACACAGACCATGGAGTACTGCATAACAATAAGAAAGAATGAAATAATGTCTTTTGCAGCAACTCAGATGGAACTGGAGGCCATTATCCTAAGTGAAGTAACTCAGGAACAGAAAAATAAATGCCACATGTTTCCACTTATAAGTGGGAAGCTAAGCCATGGCTACACAAGGGCATACATAGTGGTATAATGGACATTGGAAACTCAAAAGGGGGCAGGTTGGAAGGGGAGTGAGGGAAAAATTACCTGTGAGGTACAGTGTACACTACTCTGGTGATGGGTACACCAATTGCCTAGACTTCACCACTATACTACATATATATGTGTAACAGAATTCAACTTGTACCCACCAAATCTGTTAAAATTAAAGAAATAAAGAAATTAAATGAAAGCCTTAAACTGAGGA